TCTGCATTTAAACATTGAGTGGGCTAGTCATTAGCATTCTAGCATTCTGCTTCACTATATTGTAGAGAGCTTGGTGACATTGGATCCAGACTCGASTTTTGGGCTTCAGACATTTCGACRAGGGATTATTTGGGACTTGTGACAAAGACTTGGTGTTGACGACACTCCCATCTCTCCCCCCTCTTCTTCGTCTGATCCCCTCCTCTTCGTCTGTGTATGTCTGGACCTGGCGCTTCCTTCCTGTGTATAGCGCCAGGCTCCTTCACACCTTGTGATGGACACGATGTATGTTTGCTCTGCGTTTAAACATTGAGTGGGCTAGTCATTAGCATTCTAGCATTCTGCTTCACTATATTGTACTACGTGAATGAGGTCAGTCCCGGCCAGGTCAGGATTTGTATCTAAGTCTTCCCTGCGCTATTCAGCACCGTTGTGTATGTATCAGAATGCACATTGCTTGTTGAGATTCTACTTGCACTGCATTGTACATTCAGTCCTTTTTATCACATTGCGGATCCTCGGTTATTATGTACATCGCCTATCTGGGCATGTAACACCATCCTGGCCCTTAGGAAGTTCCAAGGTGTCTGCACTGATCACACACGTCTGTCCGAGTCTTGTGCTTTACTCAAGCTAAGAGCTTTGGTGCATTGAGTGGACATCGAGCACACTGTTTGAGGAACATCTTACACGTAACAAATGAGGGAGACATATAAAATTATAAACAGTTTTGGATTTCCATGCTGAGTTGATCTGCTGCACTGTCTGTCTGCTGTAAGTCTGTACTGTGGAGTGAGGGATGCTGACATTTTTTGCATGTTGGTTTCTGTGAGTGAGATTTAAGTGCAAGGTTGCATCAACGGTCCCTCTGCTTGTCAATCTGATGGGCGCAAGAGCTGCCCATTGACGAGCATATGGAGGTAATGTCGTCCTTATTTCTTTCATCTCAGATTCAATTGACAAGTGTCGTATGGTCTTTGGTATGCAGAGAGTGTGTAAATCTGTTAGTGTGGAGGAACACAAGAAAGTTTTGAAGCAGGAATGGGTTCAACATCTTTATGGACGATTGAATGGCACACTCCATGACAAACAAGGAGAGGTAGGGAACCAATCTTAACACAAACATGTGGCACCTCCATAGAACCTCCCCCCATGGTGGCATGAATTGGACTGCCCATCCTGTTTCTCGCTCTCCTTAGCTCAGGCTGCCTTGCTCTCTGACACCATGACTACCCCCTCCTAAAAGGTCAGTCCCACCACTGTGCACGGAGAAAAAAGCACTGATATGGCCAGTGCAACCGACAGCCTGAAAAAGGACTGACCTCCTGGTAACAAGGGGCAGTCTTACAATGAAATAGTGGTTTATTTTGGACCCGGGACCCCCCTTAACAAAACCACTCTTGGTCCTTGCAAGCAATGCTGTCGGTTGGTTCCTCTGGCTGTAAAGGGGGGAAGCGTTACTGACTGAGTCATTGTTCTTCCTGGCTTGCGGTTGGAATATGAATGAGAGTGATGTGCCCCAGAATAGAATAGAGCAAAGACCAAGACGCCCCTTTTTCTTTTCTGTGTTAGATAGAAAGCCTAACCATGTGGCCCAAGCGGGCTAGCTCAGTTGGCTGAGCACATAAGTGGGACTCAGGAGGTCTTGAGTTTGATATCCAATGCCATCCTTTCAATCTCCCGGGCCTCTAGGGGTAGGCTTTCGGGTTCACCAGCGGAGATTGTTGGCTTGGGCCTCCTGGCTTGTTGTGCAAGGGATTCTTTCCAGCCCGCGCCGGGTGTTAGGAGCTTGGGTACTGCTCCCGGCAGAGATCAGAGATAGGTAGACGTAGACCCATAACATTAGGATAGCTTAATACTCTCTTCTGGCTGCAAAGTAGGTAGCACCTGGTAGGCCCATAACCCTAAGGATTATCTCCTTGGCCTAGGGTATATCAGGTAGTGTGAGAAAACGACAAGGTAAGTCTCTGTACTAGATATGTGAGTAGATAATGTATGGTAGGTAGGTAGGTAGTGTGAGGTGGACACTAGATTGAGAGAAGAAAATAGGGTAGTAAATATACAGCTTGTCCCCCGTATTTGAGAGAGGACAGCTGTATTTATAAAAAAAAAAAGTAAAAAAAAAAAAAAGAAAGCCTAACCTTGTGTTAAACTGCCATCATTCACTTCATCCAAATGGAATTGCGAGGCCAACGCCTCTATGAGCCCCATTCGGCCCCTTTTTGGAGCAAGTCGGCCGCCCTAAGTGAAGGCAGGCTCGACGAGGCGCTCAGGGCCCTATTTTGACCACTGCGCAACTAAGGAAACTCAGGCAGTTGCGCAGCGCCAGTTGGTTGAGAGAACCCAGGCCTGTGTGAATGTATGGAAAGCAGGCCCTGGGCTGGATACGGGTACTTGGCCAAACACAGGCCAAATGCAGTTGGGTACATGCAACCACCTCAGGCCCAAGGCCTGTTCTCTATCGTGCTGGGCCTCAGACTACCGGGGCCTACTGGAAGCTTCCAGGGACTGAACGCAGGCAGGCCACTTTGATATAGCAAAGGGCCTTTCTCCAGATTCGTCATTCGGGTGCTGGCTGCATGCTGCGCAAGCGCTGCTGCGCTGTAGCTCGCTGGCACTCACGCACTCACGGGCGAGCAGGAATGAGCAGGCAGCCATAGCCGAGCTGCGCTGTTGTAAGCTAGGTGTGGTGCAGGGTGGTCCTTGGGTGCAAGTGGCATCTGTGTGTTGGGGAACGAGGTTGTGAGTGAGGCGAGAGACATACCTGGTGCTGGAAGCGCGCGACATTGGTCGCTGTGTGCTCGTACTTCGGGAAAGCTGTTGATGTCATCTTCGGCATTGTAGTCTAGGCTAGATAGGATCTGCCATCTGTAGTCTGGGCGCCGAGCGCCAGATAGGATATCAACATTGGTTCTTCGTTGATGATGATGATGAGACTTTACCAGCATTGTCAATTATGAGCTCTTGGTGTGTTCTTATTTGGTGAAACTCGTGACGCAATTCTGCTGTTGGTTCGAGGTCACGACTATCTGGTCTTGTGTATATGATGCTGTTTGATTGCTGAAGTTCGCTATTGCTCATCTTCCTTGCAGAATGTTCACCACCGATTTAAGTACCACGGAGAAATCATCCGCGTATAACTGTTGGGAATGCCAAGATTGCCACTGTTAGAATGGACCCTGATCTGCAGACATAAACGTGCATGATATGTCAGTGTCAACACATTTAGCCTGTGCCCGCTTCTCATCGTCCTTGCACTAAGAGGACAGCCAGGCCCACTGCTTCAGGCCCTTGCGACCTGTGAACTGGCTGAAAAAGCACATACCTGCAGTGGAGATTGATCTTTGATCTGGCACCTTACTGGTGTGAGCGAGCATGGAGAAGTCTTCAGCGAGCTGGAAGTGAAGCATTACACCACCGAAAACCTTGTATGAGCGCGTGCATGACCTAGATTCCCTGTTTGTTGGTATTCCCTAGATTCAGCTGCAGTCATCATCGATCTTTTCGATGTGAAGTAGGTTGTAGCCTTGTAGGTCAATAGCAATCTGCATGACTACATAGGCAGGATCAGCCTGCCGACTGCAATACCTCATGAAGTAGCTGCACCGATATGAGCAGCGGCGTTTGTTAACAACCTGTCTAGACCAGGGGCTGGTACTAACCGGCGTTCAAGTGAACCGCGTGCATACGAGTGTTGAGGGTCAGCCTGTCGATGACAATGTCATGTTGATTAGCTCCATGCACGTGAGCGGCAAGCGCTCGTTAAGCAACCTGAGTCCAAGGGCCGGTACTGACCGATGTGCAAGAGAACCATCTGCGCATAGGCGCTGACCAGTCAAGGGAAGTGGAGATACTGCCTGGACTCATTATCCTGTCCGCGGCGGTAAATAAGTTTTGAGGACCTCCAGGCTGTCCTTAAACAGTCTGTGGCCAGTCAACGGGAATCTTTCATAACCCAGTAGTTGAGTCAATCCGCAGTAAATCAGCATTAAGTAGATTAATGTAGTGTCAAATGGGCTAAGAGTCAGCGGGCGTAGAAGTTTAAGTGAGCGGTAAGTCTAAATTTAGGGGGCTGTGGAGCGGGCCCATCCAGGCTGACTGCTGTACGAGTACCTTAAAATGGATGACTATCCCATGTTTGCTGTACAACCCTCTTTCGGATTCTGTTCCCTCCGGGATTCAGGCGCTGTGTGCGCTTAGTGGTGATGGAGCACCGTAGTGGGGAAGAGATATTACAGCCGGGGGATGATGAAACGGTTTTCACCTTTCAGCAGTCACGGATACGGGCCCTAAGTTCGATCCCCAGACCTCACTTTGCCGATGTACAGTATCGAGTCGACCCCTGAGTGTTTTAACCCGTGATCTGTGTTTTGGTAGTTGTTTGTCGTCTGTCGTAGGTCCGTGTAGCGGTAGGGGTTTGATCTGTAGGTCTGTCGATTAGGAGTCACAGCTCTGTAAAGGTCGTGGCTGTAGATGCTCTGAAAGGTCCAGGTCGTAGCTGCTACAGTCCTTAAAGGTAAAGGTCGCAGCTGCTACAGTACCCGAAAGGCCAAGTCCACAGCCTTCCGGAAGGTCCGGAAGTGGCTTTTCGAAGTGTCCCACGTTTAGTCAGAGGCAAGTGGGCAAGTGGTAAGCCAACTGCGTTACGTCGGCTGTGCGACTGCATCGAGTTGGCAGTGCAAACCCATGCAGTCAGCGGCACCAGTCCCAGTCAGTCAGAGTCCAGTCAAGCAAGTACCGTGTGGGACTGTGTGCACCAAGGGCCTGGGAAAGGGGCAGACCAACGAGTTACAGTATAAATCAAGCGGCAGCGCCCAGCCATTCATTCATTCGCTGCGTAAGCCATGCGGAAGCGCTAATACAGTGTCTTGTGCGAAGGTGGTCTGCAGGTTGCCCGAAGATGAAGTGGGCTGAAGGGAGATCGTAGCCATAGTCAGTAGTGGTAGTGCGGCCATAGCCGCTGTAGGAGGAAGTTAGAGATAGTGTATGTGTGTGGTGGTATTCAGGGTGATCCAGAGTGACCGTGTGTGAACAGTGGGGTTGGACACAGTGATGAAGGTTGGGATGTTCAGGCGCTGATGCGCCATAGCCTGTTGAAGAGACCTTGCATCTGAACTGTGTTCTTGATTTCCATATCTCTAAGCTTTGAGTGGGCGCCCTGCGCCAGAGAAGGAGATGAAGGGGAAGAGGAGAGTTAAGAAGATGATGGAGAGGAGAAAAGAGGAGGAACAGGAGAGACTCGCAACAGCAGAACACAGACCTAGGAGGAATTGTATACGGCCTTTCCAAGGTAGATGCTCGCTTGGCTGAAGCAGCACGAATGCAGAAAGACACGCAAAAGAGAAAGGAGGATTTGGAGGCGGCAATGCGGAAGATGAAGGAAGAGGAGGAAGAGATGCAGAAGTTGGCGAACAGAGTTGTCAAAATAATAATTGTTGTCCTCCGACATAAAAGAGCAGAAGGACAGCAGCTGGTGGAGGTTACTCATGCAGCAATCATGGGTCTCAATAATCAGGCGGTGATTGAGGAGTTGCAAAAGACAATGGGAGGTGTAGCGAAGCTAATGGAGAGGACATGATGCAAGTGATCCAACATTTTAGCTCCCTGATAGCCTAACACCTTGAATAACAATATAGAGGGGAGAGGACAGCAAGCCTTCACGGTAGAATTCGCAGATTTGGTGTTGTTCACAAAAGCTAGACAAACGGAGGCCAGGGGGAAGGCAAGAAGGCAGTGGGATGAGAGGCGGATGCAGGAGGAACCCCATTATGTAGCATGTGAGGACATATTCCGCTACAAGATGAAGATCCCTATCACGGGAACAACGATGAAAATATAGATGTGTGGATTTTCGAGATACGGACATTAATGTTTATAGGACAGAATCCGCAAGATTGTCAGGTAGTCGTGTTGCACTGGAGAGTGATGCAAAACCTTGGGTAACGCAGCAAGTGGTAGAGAGCAGATTTGGAGACCGACTAGTGCTAGCAAGCTACTCCCGACCTCCTCGATGAGCTGAAGGCATACATTCAACGACTAGCACGAAGGAATCAGAGCAGATTTTCAGATTATGGAGGTTCATAGGACCAAGTGGTGCAG